ACACTTTGAAAGATGAAAACAGTGAATATAGTGTTGGACTTGACTTGGAGAGACAATGATTTCGAATTGAAATAACTGTAGGAAGAATCCATCCATCCATCCATTATCTTTACCCGTTTATTCCATTTTGGGTCACGGGGGTCACCGGTGCCCATGTCCAGCAATCACTGTGCGAGGGGCGGGGTACACCCTGGACGGGTCTCCAGTCCATCACAGGGACACATAGAGACAAACGAGACAAACAACCGTTCACTCTCTCACTCACACCTAGGGACAATTTAGAGTTACCAATCAGCCTAACATGCATGTTTTTGGTCTGTGGGAGGAAACCGGAGTACCTGGAGAAAACCCACGCATGCACGAAGAGAACATGCAAACTCCACCCAGAAAGGCCCCTGGACCGGGGTTTGAACCAGGGACCTGCTCACTGAGAGGCAGCAGCTCTACCAGTTGCGCCACCGTGCTGCCTGTAGGAAGAATGCATAGACAAAAAGGATTTAAATGAAAACATCTACAGAAGTGTGTGTGTGTGTGTGTGTGTGTGTGGGGGGGGGGTCTCCTTGACCTCTTCTATAGTTTCATTAAGCTGCTGCTTGTAATGTCATGAGTTGCATTAATTAAACTGCAGTGAAGGGTTTTCTTGCAGCAGAGGCAGCATTGCTGTGCCTACAGGCTGCTGTCATGTCCTAAAGATTTTTTTCCTGTTTTGAGTGTCATTGTTTTACTGAAAGTGTGACGAAACATAGCTGTTACCTAAATTAGCTGTGTAAGTGCATTATGTTGAGGTATTCGAACAGCTGTTGGCTCTGTATTAGTATTCTTCACATGGCTTTGTTTACTTTCTTTGCTGCTTATCCAATATGTTTTTACCAGCCAAAACGTCTCTAAAGGCTTAAATTAACCAGAAACTATTTTCTTTAAAACAAAATGTGTTGTAGCTTTAAGTACTCCATGCACATTAAACTCTTAAATAAGCCTCTTTTGGCCAGTGACTGCTCAGCTACATCTTTCCAGGTTTACCGTACTTGCCGCTGTACACGTCATACTGCCGTATAAGTCGCATCAGTCCAAATATGTCTAATAAAGTGGAAAATTCATAAATACGCCGCTTGGTCATATAAGTTGCATCTATTATGCGTCACCGCTGACACGTCGCGCTTGTTTGCTTGTGTTTGACAGCACGATGGCTCAGTAGTTGGCACTGTTGCCTCACAGCAAGAAGGTTCTGGGTTCAATCCCCAGTTGGACCTCAGGTCTCTCTTGTAAATGAGTCGCAGAGGCTCAGTGGGATTAACCTGTATAAATAAAGGGTGACTGAATGGACCTGGGGTCTTTCTGTGTGGAGTTTGCATGTTCTTCTCACTTGCGTGGGCTTTCTCCCACAGACCAAAAACAATCATGTTAGTCTGACTTCAGGCCCAGGCCTCCCTTGCAAAAGAGATCTGTGATCTCTATGGGATTTGTCTGGTTAAATAAACTTTAATAATAATTGTTACGTGTCACCGCTGACCACCCGGAAATGTGGGCCGGTGTTGTGCCAAAAATTGATTGGCTGCCAAATGGCGGCTGTGGGAGCGTGCAAGGGAGGACTGTACCAAAAATTTAACAAGATTAACACTTAAAAACAATTATTTGTTTGCTCGACATTATAGCAAAGGTGTGTCTCAGTTTAACTTTTCCTTAATAAATGCACTTTAATGGTCAAACCAGCTGCATTTCAAAAGCCGATTCACAGAAACAGGAGCGTGCAGAGGGACAACTCTGTGCATTTCTTTGAAAATTAACAAGACAACCACCCATGAACAATTGTTTGTTTGCTCTACTTTATAGTAGAGGTGTGTCTCAGTTTAACTTTTCCTAAGAGAGATGAAGGTGACTTTGTATGACAAGCCAAGTGTCTCATTAATAGCCACTTTACTTATTAATGAGACACTAGGCTTGCCATATTAGTTGAGAGCCCTCTAGTGGCTGAAAATGGTAGTGTTCAATATTTTCCATGTCAGAATGAATGACATTGTCAGATCTCAGACAAAAATTGGATTATAAATATTGGGGGGGGGGGGGGATAAATACATCGCTACGCTGTATAAGTCATAGGCATGCTAATTTATGCAAAAAAACATCAGCTTGTACAGCATGGCGTCCCATATGACTCCCCCCAACCAGTGGTCTGGTGCACTTCCAATGGATGAGTGAGTTTTCAGCATTTCTTTCAGTTGTTTTGGGAGCTTTTAGTGTTTTTGGTATTTGCAGCATTTTTTGTTTGCATAGTTTCATTGGTTGCTTTTTTTCTTATATTTTCTGTGTTTGCATATTTTATCTTTTTCTGTGTTTTTCTGTTATCAGCTGCTTTTGTTGACACCATTTTTTTGTATACAGTTTAAGTCGGCTAAATTCAGTCATACTGCAGGGTCTTTTTCTGTATTGGTTAAAAATCTAGTTGGCATAAAATATTAATGCTGCTTTTTATAATAAAGTTTTAAATCTCAGGTATGTAGCCCTTTGTTAAAATAACTGACTATTGTGGATCTTGGTGGGATGAAATTCAGACGATCTAAGTAAGAACATGTTTAGCAGCGAAATCTCATCAGAAAACCTCTCCAAAACTGTATGAAATGTTTGATAAATAACAGCAGCTGTGGTATAGACTGGATTTGACAGAACCTGTTGGAGTGCTGAACAGTATGTCTACTGTACTGCTTGAAAAGAAGACGCACTCTTCTTTAAGACTCCCACGTTATACCCTAAAGCATAACCTGACACAGCGGTGCTACAATCACACCCACTGCCAGAGTGAAGACATTAAAATCACCACTGCATGAATTGTTGGATAGATTTTTATGTAGGCGTTTGTTTATGAAGTTAACAATGTATTCTCATATATCCCCTGAAGTGTGAGCAAATGTGACTCCATTGTCAACATGATATTTGTGCTGATAAGCGTCGGCTCCGTTCTGAAGCATCGCAGGAGTCCAGCCGGTGTTCTGTGGTAGAATTACACAGAGGACGGGGTCAAAGGTCACACTTCCTGCTTATGTTTGTCTTTACTTAATGCTTCTAGTTTATAGAAAACTCTGTTTGTTTTTCACTCAGTTTCTATTGTTTAAACAGTTTTATATTATAATAATAAAATTCCTTATTCATTGTGGAGAGGGGTGTGTTGGGGATACAGATAAATGAGTTGGCACGAGCTGTACAAAAGACTTCTGTATATTTTGAATGTTTTGGTGCCACATCATTGTTCTAACAGGAAAAATAAAAATGTTTTCTGTGATATAACTTAATGTGTGACATTTGTTATTTTAACAAAGTTGGGACACAGTTGGTTTGGATCACAGCAGTGACAGACATTCTGCTCTTACATGTTTCAATTAGCCTGTGATGACTAACCCCCCTCCCCCCATGAACCCTCCGCGGTGTCTCCACCCTGTTATTCCTCTGATTACATTCTACAGTATACTTGAGGGGCCACGTTGTAGGCTGCCACAGATGTCTGAGAATAAACAGAGAAGACTCGAGAGAGAAAAGAATAAATGGTGGGCAGATAAATGAAGATGTTTTCAGAGAGGATGAGAGGAGTGTGTGTGGTGGGGGTTTGTTCTGACGATGGTGGGAGTATTACTCCCAGAGCTTCTCTGAAGAAGGAGGGGATTAAGGGAAATCTGTCTGAAGGTGAAAAAGGTTTTTTATTGATGACACGGAGCCTCACAGTGAAACTTTGTTTTGAACCAACTTGGTTTAACTGTGTGTAAACTGAATCACCTTGGCAATATTTGGTCAAAACACATTTTTCCCAGAGCTCAGCAGCTTATTTCATCAGTGCTCCAGATGTGTTTTACATGTAAAGAGTGATTCATTTACTGTGGCCTCTCCAAAACTGACTGAAGGATGGACTTATTTGCGAATGTGTTTCCACTTCATTTTGTCTGTGTGTAAGTGAACATGTGTGTGTGTGTGTGTGTGTGTGTGCAGCACAGGCATGCCTCTACATAAATAATTTTGTTTTATCAAGTTAACTTGTGAAAGCTCACCAGCTGGCCCTGCTGTCTGTGTTTGGGCTGTCACATAATCCAGAGCAGCAGAGCTGCTCTAATTATCCGTCACTCAGCCTACCTGTCTTGAAGTCAGGGACGTCTTCTTACCATGCTGCAGTTTCCTGCTGGGAAATCATAAAACAAGGCTTGTCAGTTTCTAGTACACCCAGTACCTTCATACTTCCCCCTCTATGTTCTATTCTCTCAAAGCTATTACACATGTATCATGTTTGTAATTGACTGAAAATCCTCTTAAGAACAACAAAAGGTCTGAGTAGGTGAAAGGCTTGAAATACTTAGTTGTTTTTTTTTTTTACTGTCAAGCTGCCCTGAAGCACAGCTCTATAAACTGACAGAGTGTGTGCCACTGGAACAATGCAATCACAGAAACAGAAGAAAGAGAAAACAGCAGGAAAGTTGCAGGGAAGCTCCTCGTCTCGTTGTTGCAGCATTCTCTCTCTGTGTGGTAGATTTATGGCTTGTCAGAGCAAACATCCGGAGAGCTGCCTCTTCTATCCGAAGATGTGTTTTCTGTCTAATCCACTCCTAGATCTCCTGAAGGCCAAAACAGCCAAATGTCCTTCATCACGGAGTATTTTAGGAAAAAGAGTTATAAAAGTTCAAAATTGAGTAAAGGCAGCACAGAATGCGTCACTCAGAGCCTATTGTGTTGCTGCTTCATACTCTCAAGTACAACTAGGTTATTTTCATCATCCTTTGAAGTACATCAGCTATGAAGGAAACTTATTAGCCCCCCCCCCCCCACACACACACACACACACACTGCCCCTGCTGGAAAGCTTTGTGTTTTTCATGGGATTGTGCAGACATCTATTGTTACAGCTTCTTTAATGACACCTGCTTTGAGCATTCGTCTGTTTACTATAGAAACATTTTCTCTCTCTTCTTTTGTTATCCTCCCCTTGCTCTTTCTTATTGCTGCTTTGTTCCCTTTGCTTTCTGCAGGTAACAGTATACTACACTCAGCTGCAGACAGCGTGACAAGTGCTGTCCAGAAGGCCAGCCAGGCCCTGAATGAGCGTGGTGAGAGATTAGGTCGGGCAGAGGAGAGGACTGCAGACATGATGAACAGTGCTGAACAGTTTGCAGTTACTGCACACAAGGTGAGACGGCAAGAAACAGCTTAACCTTAAAGTGGGATCACTGCATCTCTTTAAGTAAATATGATCATTTCCTAATGTATTGTGTAATATACAAGCTGCTATTATCAGTTTAACCAAAAGACCAACACTTTTTATTTTTGATTCTAAGGATACGTGCATTTCTTTATTGTGATGTATATATTAGGTGTTAAAGCATATGTGTCAAACTCAAGGCCCGGGGGCCAAGTGTGGCCCTCGTTGACATCTTATCTGGCCCCTAAGATGATGTGTGAAATGTAAAATACTTCTATCTTTTGAATTTTTTCAGTAATCTTTGATCATGATGTCAAAAGCTCAACAGAGAACATCAAATGAGACCAATCAAACTCTTGTTGAGGAACCTGTGACCAAGAAAAGATGTTGGATATCTGATTTGAGTTCATGTAGATTCTGAAACTGGTTCTTAGTTTGAAAAAGGTTTTAATTTTGACCCCTTTTGTAAGTGAGTTTGACACTGTGTTAAAGTGTTGTCATTATATATTTTTATTCTTTGACCATACAGTAGTTCCTCGCTACTTGGCGGTCGTTTATCGCGGACTCGCTCTATCGCGGTTTTTCAAAATAAGAGTGGACAAGACACACAACTGGCTGATTGATGGATGAACCGCACGATAGGCAGGGAATTTTTATTTAAAATAAATTATTTTAAATGATTTGGCACCTCCTGCAGCTCTGTGCAGCCCACACTGCAGTACAAACGTCCTGCTGCAGCTGATCAGCTGTTCTCCATGCGGAGTGGAGAAGTGGGCGTGGCCAAGAGCACTTGCAGGTGGCAAAGAGCAGAAGAGGCAGGGAGCTGAAATCACGACATTATGTGCTCTTTCAGAGCATTAAGTTTAGAAACATTGTTTAGAATATTGCAAGAGTGTAGGAAGGGTTTAAAACGCCTTAATATATTTTATTAAAATAAACTACTACTTGTACTACTATTCCTACTTCGTGGTTTTTCACTTATCGTGGGTCTTCAGGGGACAGATTCCCCGTGATAAATGAGGGACTACTGGAACTCATTTACTTTCAGTTTTGTAGTTCTCTGTAGTGTCTTCATCCTCTGTCAGATTCATATCACTTATTTAAGAAAACTAACTGCATGCTGCTTAATGAAGCTATAAGCCTTTTCTTTCATAAACTAAATATTTCTAACAAGCACACAACACTAGTCTGTATATGAAACACCTCTGGCTTCTGGCTTTACTGTCAAGTTGAGCAGCTGACAAGTGGAAAAGCACGTCATGAACTGAACTCGTTCATTTTCTACTGAAATAGTTCCAGTTATGTATATTTCTACAGAAATGTGTGAGTTATGGTGATTGAAAGACCATTAGAAAATCTTGCTTGATCATCCCACTGCTCCCAGATGAGCCTCCCCACTGGGATAAAGCCATAAAGTGTGATAAGCAAAGAAAAACGTTCAGTTTACTGGTTTCTGTAGAAAATAACTCCATAAACTCCCACAGTGAATCCTTTGCTTCCTTTTCCCATTTGACTTGATTACCTTTGTTTCTTCGCTTCATAACTTCATCAGAGGAGAGGATTTTTCATTTAAAGTAGAAATAGTAACGGGGAACTGGATGTATGGAAACACTTTCAGATTTCTTTTTTGTTCATTTACTGTGAGCACAGAAGGCTCAAGATGTTGACATGGACTTTGAAATGTGTTGATTTGATCGTAAATAAGAATCAGATTCTGTGCCCCCGAATGAAATCCTGGTCTGATTTGTAGGAAAATGTACCAAAGTAAGCTTTCTGCACTGAACAAAACATCAACATTTATTACTAAAGCTTTGACCAGAAGCTGATTCTTAGATGTAAATATCTTTGTAATTACATATTCAATTCAAGTTACACAACTATGCAAGTTTCCAGTCATCTTGTAATTTACTGACACATCTCAGTTGAGTATAAATGCACCCGGGCGAACCTTTACCTTCTCATCAGAAGCATCTGCAGTGCTGTAAGGGGGGTCACCTTGACCTTCTTTTCTTCTGAGCTCATTCCTGCAGTTCACTTTGTGACTGCAGACAATTCCACTGCATTGCTCAGTTTTAATCCAAACCTTTAATTTCTCTGTGACGCTCTGCTGCCACCACTGGATCGATATGTAGAATTCAGCTCTCGTCATTCCACAGCAGCAACACCGTACTCGGTCTGCAGGTGTGTGTGTGTGTCATTTTTCACATCTCCACACCCTGTGGCTTTGTATTAGATTAGCTGCTTTAGTTACCTCCCTAATGAGCCTCCCATAAAGCCAATTATAACCTCTATTAATAAGATGGATTCAGTTTCAGAAAGTCTGAGTTAAAAGAACTGGGCTGACTGGTCTTTATTTGTGTGAAATCACACTGACGTCATGCTGCATGCTATCTCTGTTTTTCTTTGGCTTTAGGTGTTTTTCTTTTTGCAGGTTTGTTAATGCAACATGTTTTTCTTGAGTCTTCTCACTCTTATTCTGCAACCCCCTCACCCCACTCTTTCCACAGCTTGCCATGAAGCACAAATGTTAAACCACTGCCAAAACCAGTTGGGCTGGAGGTGCCAGCATTCACCAGTCGCTGCACAGGAGAAGGATTCCAGATGTTATTCTTCAAAAAGAAAAAAAGATGAATATTTGTTAACAATGTTAACATTTTTATGTGTTGGGTTTTTGTACTGCGGTGCATCTCATCCTTGATGACGGCGACACGTTTCGCAGAAGCAAGAGGGAAAGAGAAACTTTCTGCAGAATGTTTAATGCCTCCGTTTACCTTAAGTTTCAAATCACCAACAAAACTGGAGTTTATGCTAAAAGCCCCCAAACCATGCTTTGATTGATTTGCTCTAACTCAAGTGATTCAGTGCACAAGTGAACCTAAAAGTTGTCTGCAAACAGTCCCAGACCTGTAGGTGTAAACACTTCATTCATGTTCAGTCTGATTCATGAAGAACAGAAGGTGTGTAAACAAACTGGTAAAATGTTTAGGTCTTTCTTTTAAAGGTAAATTCGGGAGACGGTGATTTCAAACTGTAAGATGATTTTACCTCGTGAGGAAAAGGCAACTATCCCTGACTAACAGTCGATGTGATGTTTTGTCTGTTTGTCTCAGACACCTGAGGTCATTCAGTGTCTTCTGTCCACCGTTTCAACATGTGTCCTAACAGTATTATTATCATCTCAATGTTTCGTTTTACAAACTGCAAAGTGTTTTTGTCACTGTTTCGTCTCTTACACATCGAGCTAATTATGTCTTGTTCTGTCCATAATTTCCAAATGCATCTGAAAGGTTTTTATTTATATAATTACTAGGGATGCACAATATTGGTTTTTCGGCCGATATCCGATACCGATATTTTATGTACTTTCCTTTGTCAGAGCATAGCATCTTATTTAGGCTTATTTGCTACAACAATTGTGTAACAGCTGTAAGAGCTGGTGACATATATTCAGTAACAGCCATATGATCTGCAGAGCACTTTGACTTATATTAAATGAAAAGTGTTAAATGTTATTTATTAGCATCAGTCACCTGCGATGTTGTCTCACATGTGGAGGCTTGTTCCAGGTTCCTATAGCTGCAGTGTGGGATCCTCTGCACTCTTGTGCATGAAGGACAGACTTTTTAAGATCAAAGTTTTTGTCTATCCATTGTGCCGTAACACTAATCATGCTAATGGGGCTAACACGACGTCTGTGGTAAAACTCACCAAGTGCTATCAGCTATTAGCTTCTCAGTGACGTCGGAAATGACGGCTTGTAACTCTGATAAGGCTACGTCAGAAAAATATCTGACTGGGGAGGATGTAGCGAGGCTCAACGTAATCCAAATATCTTCAGAATCTGACATCCTCAACAAAAAAACTTCCACACTGCCGACATTTTGAATTTTCGTCTCTGCCGTGAGATCAGGTGACGTCATCATGTTGTGGTGACGCTGCAGCGTCCTCGTCACTGGGTTGTCGTACAAAAACAGCGTCTTTTTTATCAGTGACTTATTTTGATGGAATGGCTGATGTTCGATATTGAACTCGAACGCTAAAATCAGCCGATGCCATGCCGATAATATTGTGCATTCCTAATGATTACCATGTTTCATTTCGCAAACTGGAGAAAATATTGAATTTGTGTATCACCTATTATAGGATGGTAAAATGTTTTGACTCTGGACTGATTTGTCTTTCAAAACAACAAAAAACACATGAATTTCAGAATAAAGCTTTTGCGTGTATTAATTAAACATCTTAATTCATGTCACTTCATTAGGCCAGCCTCTGCCTCAGTACGATGATCTCTGTGTTTGTAGAGCTAACTCGTTTAATTATGGGATGTTTAAAAATGAATGGATCCCGTCTGTATTTCACCTTTAAACATCCAATACTTTAACTTTTCTGATTTGTTCATTGTTGAGATGTTTACTGATGAGACTAATTGGTGGCAGTGTATAATTAATTTTTGTTCTCACACTAACTTCAGCTTTCTCATGAGCCAGACACCACCATCACACTTACAATGTTGAATTATTTTTCCATCTTTCATTTTCTAAGCCATGGTGTTAACAGTGTACTGATAAAATGATCTTGCAAAGTTTTGTTGAGTTTATAATGAAATTTTCCCAATTTTGTGCTTTAATTTATCGAACACTTAATACATTTGTTGTAATGAAAAAAGTATGTGAAGATGTATTTCAGTTGTTGTTTCACCTTTTATAGCTGATGTAAACATTTCCAACAAACAATGGAACTCAAATAGTGATTTTTTTTTTTTTTTGGACTACTTTCGTCATGTGCATTAAATTCTATTGTTTCCTTTTCATTAACAAGGAGGTGGCGTCAGCTTTAAATGTCTCACAGATTTTGTACTTTTCTCTGCCTGATGTGCTCAGTTTCACTTTATGGTTTAACGCTGCTGTTACTTTGATCTGATCTCCACTCTATAATACTGTAAAAAGTCAAATAAAGTTCAGTTCACTATCACAGTAATGTTGTTTAATAATGTTTCTTTATGCCCACATCTCATCTCTGACACTAAATGAGTGCTGCGTCTTGCATCATGTAGCAGTGAAATGAATGTCAGTTCAATTCAGTTTATTTGTATAGTGCCAAGTCTCAGGGCACTGAACAGAAACATTCACAAACATTATAAAAGCCAATTAGTAAAAGTTCTCTAGCTAAGGAAACGCGCAGATGAATCGTTGACACGTTGAATCTTCTTCACTTCATCACAGTCTCCCATCCTGAGCAAGCACAGTGGCAACAGTGGAAAGGAAAAACTCCCTTTTAACGGTAAGAAACCTCCAGCAGAACCAGGCTCAGGACAAGCGGCCATCTGCTTCAACCGGATGAGCTTTGAGAGGACGGGAAAGAGGAACAAATAGAATGACAGGTCCACATGTACTTTCTATAGGAGGAAAGACAAAAACACATATTAAGATATAAATAATTACAAATACAAACCGGTAGAGTAAGTAAAGACAGTAGTATAGTGAAGAAATGTGGTCAGTTTGTCCTCCAGCTGTCTAAGCCTATAGCAGCATAACTAAGGAGTAACTCATGAAACCCAAGGTGACCCTAACTATAGGATTTATCAAAAAGGAACGTCTTAAGCCCAGTCTTAAAACTGGCCAATGTGTCAGACTGAAACTGGAAGTTGGTTCCACAAGAGAGGAGCCTGCTCTTCCTCCCATTCTGCTTTTGGAAACTAGGAACCACAAGTAAACCTGGAGTCTGAGAGTGAAGTGTTCTGTTAGGAAAATATGGAACAATAAGATCTGTAATATAAGATGGAGCTAGGTTGTTGAGAGCTTTGTAGGTTAGAAGTAGGATTTTGAATTCAATTCTGGATTTGACAGGGAGCCAGTGGAGAGAAACTAAAACTGGAGAAATATGATCTCTCCCACTAACTTCAGTTAAGACTCTGGCAGCAGCATTTTGGATCAACGGAAGACGTTTTAAGTATTTGGACATCCAGATAATAAACCATTGCAATAGTCCAGTCTAGACGTGACAAATGCATGAACCAGTTTTTCTGCAGCAGTTTTAGATCAGATGTTTCTAATTTTAGCGATATTATGCAGATGGAAGAAGGAGGTTCTAGTAACATTTTTAATGTGGTGGATAAAAGACATGTCCTGATCAAAAATAACACCAAGATTTTTAACATTAGAGCTGGAGGACAGATTAATGCCATCCAGAGAAAGTGAAAGACTGAAAGATTTATTCCTAAGATACTCAGGTCCAAAAACCAAAACCTTAGTTTTGTCCAAGTTTTAAAACGACATTTCAGGTCATCCAGGTTTTTATGTCTTTAAAACATGCTTGTAGTCTAAGTAGCTGATTGGATTATTTGTGTTTCATAGATGTAGTACTAACGTACGTACGGGCCACCAGATGTAGTAGAACCTATTCTGTCATATATTCATACTGTTAAAACGGATTCTTTCATTTTTCTGGACTGTATAATGACGTGCATCTGAATTTCATAAAATGTGGACAGAAACGTTAATTATCTTTGACTCACCAAGACAGTGGGTCATTTATTAACATAATCAAGTTTAACACATCACACATTTACATTAATTGGCAAGAATTGAAAATAACGACAGCTTATTAATCAGTTTAGCAAGGAGTAAACAACACGGCGGTTGTTTTCTCACTTCCAGCAAAACGACAAACGTCAACCACACGGCGGTGATTGAAAAACTTTGCTTCAGACATTTCTAAAAATATCTGTAATGATTTTTAGCAGATAGAAGAATTTTAAAGATGGAAAGATGAAGTTTATCTTGAGAGAGATATGTGAGGGAATTTGTCTGTTTTAACCAGAACATGCACGCTCCTTTGGAAATCAGCTTGCCCCAACGGTACACTTTTGGTGAAGATCGACTTTTACCTTTCTGAAGATATCTCAGTTCCGGCGTAAAGTTCCACTTCAGCGTCTCCGTAAGAACAGCTAACCCTCTGGAGTCGTGAGGTCATCCAAAACAGAAGTTCATAATTCCCAAATCTTTTCTCTTCAGTTTGATTCTCTTTTCAACAGCATCCTGAATTCCAGCCTTCATGAACTCTGGAACTGCTGAGTTTCAGAACTGCAGAACTTCCTGCAACAACTGGAAACCTGCTTGAACTAGGAAGTGCCAACATTTAAAGAAAGCTCACTTCCGGTTCATTTGGGAGTTTCTGATTGGTCGATGGACCAAAACAGAGGTGTGTTTTGTGATGTAAGGTGTTATGAAAAGTCAAGGAAAAGATTAAGATTGTTTAAGAACAGACAAAAGATATCATGAGAAACTTCAGACTTCGTGGAGTCAATTCTCTAGTATCTTGCTGTAAAAGTTAAACATGACATTTCTTTTCAGTAAACTTGCAGTTGACCGGAACTTGAACTTTGACCAACTTCCATCACTTGCTCACTTCAAACAGACGATCAAGAAATTGAATCATTACTCTGTAACGTATTCCAACTTGATTTCACTTTGAATGAGGATTAAGAATCATTATTACTGTTTCACAGTTAATAAAAAATGAGTAGTTCACTTCAACATGTAAACATTGTTTGAACTAACACAATTTGATTATCAAACATTTGTAAAATAGTAATGATAATCAAGAGTAGTCTTCTTTTACTTGATCAATTCAAGAAAGAAAGTCTCAGGATGGGTCAACCTGTATTTCTGGATGCAAATCAATGAAATGACAGTTCTGTCCCATATGGTCTTTAGGTCAAGGTTTTGACCTTCAGGCCTAGTTCACTACATAGACAAATATAACTGTGTATCATCAGCATAACAATGAAAATTTATCCCGTGCTGGTGAATAACTTTATC